CTGTTTGGAAACGGAGAGTAAATGTGGAAGTCCTTCAAAGATTTCTTATCCTGTTGCGCCCTCTATAGGACCAGCGACTAGTCGACGTCAAGCTTAAAGTGTCATGGCAGAGCATTGAAGTCGACCAGTCGATTAGTCAGTGCAACCCCTATCGGCAAGTACCAAAAATAAAAGGATCGGTATCGGGCGAGTACTGGAAAAAGTGATATCAGTGCATCCCTAATATATATATTAGGGGTGTAACGGTACACAGAAATCACGGTTCGGTACGTATCTCGGTTTTGGGGTCACGGTTTGATACAAGTTCGGTACAACAGAATTTTTTTTTTTAAATTTATTTTGAAAAGACAGTAGTGCTACATACATGTAGCATGAGCAGTTGTTTTTGATCTATGTTCTTGTGGCTCAGTGGTAGAGCATTGCGTTAGCAGCAGCTGTTTTTGATTTGAATTAGATTGTATCATTTCAAGATTTAAAGCAAACACAGAATGGTCTGACTTTAGATTTGTGAAATTATGCTACATAAGACACCTGCACAAAACAAAAACAGCAGACGGACTGAATGAAAATGCAGATTTATTCTCTGACAGCAGGTGGCGCTTATGGAACAGCAGCAATACAGCATTTCCTTGGTTACCGCTGTAAACAAAGCAGATGTGCTTATAAACACTACTTTAATTAGTGCTGGGCGGTATGACGAAAAATTTATATCACAGTATTTTTCAAAATTATACCAGTTTCACGGTTTGTCAGTATGAATATTCTATGGAAAAAAGACGCTAAAAGGGCCTGAAAGTTGCTAAATCTAGTGCTAAAGTCACGCTCGTGTGTGTGTGTGAGACGCGGGAGCTGATGGCAGGGGGCGGTGGAGATTTGTGGCGGTCATTGTGGATATTGTGGATGAGTTCTTCTGTGTCATCACGTTCTATTTGTTCTACAGCTTAAGTTTCGGAACTTTCATGCTTAGTAACACATACAGCTGTTCCCTCACCACAGTGCAACAGTGAAAAGGGACCCCTTTCAAACAGTGTCGCGTTCCGAACGTTGTTTAAGCGACATACATACTTTACATAGTATTGCGGTATTTTAAAAATTCATATCATAACAAAAATAGTAGATCGTCTCTTCTTCTGCTCTTTCCTGTTGTGACGGTTAGCGTTGCATTGGATTTGGATTTGGATTGATCGCCTGTGACTGACTGTATTCGTCGTCTGACTGCATGAACCGAACCGTGACGGTTCGGGATGAATACATGTACCATTACACCCCTAATTAATATTAGTAACAGGGTTGGGGAGTAACGGAATACATGTAACGGCGTTAAGTAATCAAGATACAAAAATCTAATAACTGTAATCCGTTACAGTTACATCACAAAACAAAGTATTCAGATTACAATTACATTTTGTAAAAAGTGGGAATACTATCAGGATTACATTTGTTTAATTTAAAATTAAATTAAAATTCTACAATTATTCTCCTCAAACGCGGGATGAGACGCTGCTGGGAAAAACTTTTTCATGTCTGGAAATTTCACAGTTATTTTGTTTTCAAAGAGGATAAAGGAAATATGCATGAAGACTCTTGCTTTATCAAAGCCTACTCAACCAACTTGAACATGTGCAGGTACGACTAGCATGGAAATCATTATGTTAGCTAAAATGTAGTGTTTGTTAGTGATTTAAAATTCCATGGTGTGCATGATTGCAGTTGTAAGTTTTCTAGCGGAAAATGAGCTGGAAAATGTAGAAATTAACACGAGAGTCCCCACACCCCGGATCAGTCAATGAAATAAAGAAAGATCATAGCATTTCACATGCATTTCGACATGTAGGCTTATTTTAAAATAGACTAATATGGTGTAAAATGTTTAATATTGTATATAAACTATATTTATTTTTACTTGTACATGTTAAAGAAATAAAATAATAATAAAAATAAAACTAATACTAAACTGTATAGCCACTAGATGTCTGCATAGCCTTTTATAAAAATATATATATATACGGGCTATAATAACCAGATGGTGAAACAAGACATGATTTTTAAGTTTCAACTAGTTTTATAGTTTTTATTAGTTTTAACTTTAAAGTCATAGTTAAATAAAAGTACTTAGATATTACTTTTTTGACTTCATTTACATATGTAACTAAAAGGAATCCAAAAGTAATCAGATTTGCGGAAGAACATTGTAGCCGGAGCTACTTCTCTCTGTTTATGTCTATGGCGAATCACACAGGTACTGGGCTACTCTGCAGCGGTACCTACCTGAACCAGTCTAAATAGTCTGAATAGAAACACTTATTATAGGTGTACCGTAGTGATTCAGGACAAACCAAAAACACGGTTTGGAAAATGGATTCATGGTGTACTCGCTTATTATATAAAGTTTGTAAATTTTGAACACAAAAAAGTTACGGACTGCAGCTTTAATTATATTGTCAAAATTTTTATTTTTATTTGTTTTTTATTTAATTTAAAATAAATAAGTTATTGTTTTATTACTGTATTTTTGTTGTTATTTTTTAATTAATTTTATTTTATAATTAATCATTAAATAATTTGTGTAAAAAAATTTTTGATTAAAAAACACTTTGCAATAAAGTTCAAAAAGGTGTCTTGCAAAATGCATTAGGTATCTTAAATTTATACTTTTACAGTATTTATTAATATAAATAAATTATAATACATGTTCATTTTTACATACACTACCGCATTCAGCAAGGATGCATTACATTGATCAAAAGTGAAAGTAAAGACATTTATAATGTTACAAAAGGTCTATTTCAAATTAATGCTGTTCTTTTGAACTTTCTATTCATTTAATAATCCTGAAAAAATACATTTCAATTTCCACTAAAATATTTAGCAGCACAATTGTTTTCAACTTTGATCAAATCAGCATATTAAAAAGATTAAAAAGGATCATGTGACACTGAAGACTGGAGTAATGGCTGCTGAATGGCAGCTTCGCCATCACAGGAATAAATCACATTTTAAAATAAATCAAAATGAAAAAGAGTAGTTTAAAATTGCTATAAAATTTGACAATATTTCTTTAATTTTAATCAAACTATTGAAAGGTAGTGTATACTAATACATTTTTAACATTTCAAGATATAAATGAATAAATATAAATTAATGTAGTAGTAGTAGTATATATTTATTTAATGCCATGTCAGCATCAAAGGCTATTTTCATAGCAAAAACAATTTAAAAAATACAAGTATAACAAATACAATAAAAACCAGCAAACAAACAAACACAAGTTATATCACACAAGATTTTTTACATTAACATGTGATAAAAATTCTAAAACTTTTCCTGGTAAAATAAAAATTAATGTATTAACTTATGAACACACACACGTTTACAATGAATGATAGTGTATTTGTAAATTAATATTAATGTAAATTAATAAATGCTGTATTGTTCATTGTTAGTTCATAGACAGTTTTATAGGCTGTCATTCACAAACGCCAAACAACTGCAGTGTTTTTCCCTTATGCACTTTTGATGGTTATGAAATATTAAATTTCTTATCTTTTAACTGAGATTAAAAGTCATTTTACAATTACATGCCAAAGAAACCGAAGTCGAACAGAAAATATGATGCTGAAGAATGTTGCATGTGTGCAATATCATCTTTGATCTACAACTTAAGTGTCGTTATGTTGTAATCCCACTTATGTGTCTTTGCCTTATATTGAAATCTGCCTGTAGAAGCGTTTATACATGTCATACATTTGACAGCCTTTGTTGCTGTTCTCAGACATAAAGAGGAAGTGGAGGCACAACAAGATAAGCAAACAGAATCAGGGTTTCAGTCGAGCTGTTAACCATAGAGTGGCAATACAACAATTTAGAGGTCTAACATGCACTTATAAAATATGCAAATGTTTTATGATCGTTCTCTCTGTTTTTCTCCACTTAGTGAAAATGTAGGAGAACTTATCAACAGCACGGCCATATTAGAGCACAACACTGCAAGCAAGAGCACGTGTGCTACCTTTAGAAACATGGTGGGTCTTGTCACAAACAGCTCTTTGAGAGTGTTGATTTTTGATTCATCTCGATATTGTCATATTACCTTAATGGTTTCAAGAATGCTATCGTTTAATAAGATATGTTTCTTCCTCTTCAGTCCATAAGGAAGATCAAACGAGCTGACAGGAAGGGCTCTGAGTCAGTGACGGAGGAAAAGTTTGCTTTGTTGTTTACCACAGAAATAACCATCACGGGCTGTGAGAGCCCTTATAGCATTCAGGTGCTTGCTTTACTAATTTATTTTAATGCAATGGATTGTTTCAGTTTATCATTTAGTCATCAGGACATGCACTGAAATCAGATGTAATTATATTGAAAATATTAGATTCATACATCAGTCCCACCAGGATTTTACAGGACTTTTTTTTATGATTTTTGCCACCCAAAGTGACTGAATTTGTTGCTATCAAAATTATGTACACCATTTTTGTGTCGGTTTGCAGTGAAATATGTAACATTACCCTCTCCGTTGCTCATTTTGTAACTTTTATTTCCTTTTAAACTTTTGTATAGAAACCTGATGATGCCACGAATCAATGATTTCAGAAAATCACTTAAAAATATGAAATATTAAAACTTTTATTTCCTTTTAAACACTTGTGTATAAACCTGACTATGCTTAAGTCCCAGTGTTCCATATGGTCATTCCATCCCTGCTCACTTTACGAAGGCATTTACTGCAATACAGCAACAGGACAATTGAGCATGTATTGATTTATTTGTTTGGGCTCTGAATTATGGATTTTAATGAGCTAACTTCCTCTTAGGTAACTTTTTTTACTGGAAAATTGCCATAAATAATGCAGAGTTTGCACTAAATTCAGCAATTGCAAAATCCTGGAGGGACTATTGCAGAAAAATTGTGCATGTTGGTGTGTAGTAACTTATTACAACAGTAACTTATTGCCTTCTTCATCCTACAGGCAATCTCTCTTCCTGTGGTTGTAATTGTACATGGTAGTCAGGAAATCAATGCTATGGCGACCATCATATGGGACTGTGCCTTTTCTGAACCTGTGAGTAACATGGAAAGACCCCATCACACGTCTTTTTCCTGTCGACGACCATTTTCAGTGTTTTGTTAAAAAATTGACAATGTGTGCTCTGTGCTGTGATGATTTCAGAACAGGATACCGTTCATCGTTCCGGAGCGTGTGCCCTGGAAGCAGATGTGTGAAGCTCTTAGCAGTAAGTTCATGTCTGAAGTCCAGACGCAGCGGTGCTTGGACGGATACAACCTTCACTTTCTCGCCCAGAAGATCTTTGACCAACCAGACATCTCTGAAGATTTCAGCAATATGCCAGTGTCCTGGGCTCAGTTCAACAAGGTACCACTAACATGAATTTGTTGTGCATTAATATACAATATTATGAGCGTGTGTTGTCTAACAGCTGACTAGTAGCATACTAACACATTTACATACTGTTGTGTCTTTAAATTCATTGCAATTTATCAAATTTTTCCATGTCTCAAGACCCCTAAAAATATGTTTCTAGAGACCCTAGCATAATTTACGTAACATTCACAAACGGTTTGACTGGCGAAATGGTGTGAATGATTATTTCTGTGACTGTTTTAACACAGGAAGTTCTGCCTGGTCGAAACTTCACCTTCTGGCAGTGGTTTGAAGGGGTGATGGATCTTACAAAGAAATGCCTGAGAGACTATTGGAGTGAAGGGTACAGTTAGAGTTCCTCAGTTTGTTTTTCACTTTATAGAGAACTACAAAAGACTAGATAAGTAAAGAAATTAAGAGAACTAGATATCTGTCTCTCATTGCCCCTGCAGACTGATCTTTGGCTTCATTGGAAAACAGCATCTCCATGTCATCCTACAAAACAAACCCAACGGCACCTTTCTTTTGCGCTTTAGTGACTCAGAGATTGGTGGCATCACCATCGCCTATGTGGGTCCCAGTGATAGTAAGTATAAAATATTTATACTACTGTACATGATGCACTATTGTTCAAAATTTTGGAATTGGACAGTTGTATGTTTTTGCAAGTCTCTTATGCTCACCAAGGATATTATTACAATTTGTCAAGTTGGCATGAAATGCTAATTCATCTACTTGTACACGTCTGGTGACCTATACAGGATCATTTTGTGTTTATCTTCCTCCATTTTTGAATGCAACACCAATGTCTCAAAATCCAATCAATATTCGATACATAGACCAAGTCCCTGCCCTACATTTTTTCTTTTTCAATATACTGTTACGCTCGGACCAGTTGGTATTTCTGTTTCATTGCAACTTTAAAATAACTGTTTCTATTTTAATATATTTTAAAATGTATAAAGAAGATCTGTAAAGTTGCAGACTAAAGTCTCAATGAGCTTTGTAAAACTCAACTCGTTTCAGAAAGTCGGGGCATAGAGGAGAAACAATAATGTACAGTATGTGGAAAATAATGTGTTTTTTGAACCTTAAACTGCATAAACACATTTCATTACACCAAATACACAAAATAATGTTCTTTTTAGCAACATCATATGACCCCTTTAATATTTTTGTGGAAACCGTGATTTTTTTTTTCAGGATTCTTTGATGAATAGAAAGTTCTAAAAAAATAACATTTATTTGAAATGGGGTTTTTTAACAATGTAAAGATATTGTCACCTTTGATGAATTTAAATGTCCTTGCTAAATAAAAGTATTAATTTCATTAAAAAAATCTTACTGACTCCCAAAATTTTGAATGGTGGTGTATACAGTTTTGTCTTTATGTATCTTAAACAGTTAAGAACAAAGAAAGTTCATTTTAATGGGTTCATAACATGGATTTTTTATTGTTTTAATATGTTTCTTAAGGTTTACCTATAATGTTAATAGTTTCCTTTCTGTCATTCACTCCGACGTTGTGTCGAGTGTACGAAACAAGGGGTCGCTCTTGGGAGCCCAAACACCTCTGTCATCTTTGAGAAAAGGCAATGAAATTGGGTATGCAGAATTTGCATAGCTGGCCACGCCCCGGACATCCGGGTATAAATAGGCCAGCGTAGCATCTGCTCACTCATTCTGTTTTTCGTAGCCGAATGCAGCGTCTCTCACAGAGAAGTTGTGATCATTCACCTCTCGATTCCTCGTTGTTGGATCTAAGGCAGGGTCAGTGGTCTCTCCCTACTCATACAAAGATATGACAGTACCCCTGGGTGCTCAGCGGCGATCTCTGGAAGAGCAAATTTCCTCTAAAAGAGTGCAATTTCTCTGAAAGAGCTACACGGGTGGAATTGTGTTTCATCATGCCTTTCTGCCCGTGTGTTTCTGGCTGCGGTTGGCACGTCTTGAAAGACGACCAGCACGAGCGTTGTATTCAGTGTTTGGGCCGTGCTCACGCTGAGGCAGCACTTGTGGATGGTTCGTGCCCCACTTGCGAGGTTCTTCCCGAGTCACCGTGGCTGCTTGCCGCTCTGGTCCTTTTACCTCCAGGTGTGAGGCCACAGCGATGTGTGCCACGGAAGAGCATGGGGAGGAGGGATTAGTTTCGCTGGGGCAATCCCCGCGAGCTTCCCGTTCTTCCCTTGCTTCGTGCTTACCAGTCGAGTTTCCAAATGAGTTTGAGAGCCCGTCCCTCCCCCACCCTGCCCCGAGCGCTCGCGGCTGAATGATTGGTTTCTGGGTGCTGAGCGTAACACTAAGCTGCACTCGGCCCCGGTGCCTTTGTTCCCGAAAGTGCACGAGGAGCTGATGAAATCGTGGAAGGCCCCTTTTTCATCCAGAACACGGTACACCGGCTCCTCTGCCCTCACCGCCCTCGATGGGGGTCCAGCGAGGGGGTATACGGAGGTCCCCCCGGG